TTGAAAGATCTAATATTCTGTATTTTCTAAAATTCCTATTCGATTAACTGTAGAATTTGAATAAGTCTCAAGATAAACTATAGATGACTATTAATTATTAGTATAGTTTTAAGAATACTTCTTATTTTAGTCATGATCTATATTTGAAATCTTTAAACTTTAAAAAATTTTAATATAGTAGTATTTCGATGATATGAGAAAGTCATTTGTGCTAAACTATGACAACTTTGGTTGTATTTTCTTTTGAAAAATATCAAAATTTTCTAATGAATCGTTTTCAATAATATGACATACAATTGTTTATTTTAGGTCCACTTGAATACAAAACACATAATGATTCTTTACGTGACAATTGTAGTTATCGCAATACAGATCGCGTTCGGTGAACTAACTATATTCTTTATATTTGGATTCTTTGATTTTTTTTTTTTTTCATTTTTGTTTTGCCTTTGACGCAGATATTATATTACATGTTTTGGTATTCTTATCTCACTGTATTTGATTGTTTGTTTTCTTTTCTTTTAATTAAACAAATCATAGAGATTTATTCTTCGTTGTTGTCATGTATTTGTTAATTTGATAAAAAACAAAAATAAAAAAAACAAAGAATTTTTTTCGTTTATTTAATATAATTAATGATTTTGTTTTGTACTATATATATATATGCCGATCGATTTGAAATTTATGATATAAAAATAACTTTTAAGAGAATAGAGTACAATAATAAAAAGTAAATAGATTCATTATAGAAATTTGATTATTTAAGTCTCAATGAAGATTTCTTCTAAGCTCAATATGAATTCATATAGAAAGTTACAATCGATGCAATTTTTTTTTGTAAATTCAAGATAAAAATGGTATTCAATATAATAATTATAGAGATGAGAGATAAACTAAGAAACTCTCATTACACTTTTTTAAATCTCTCTTGAGATATTGAAAAAAAGATAATAAATTGAGTATTATAAATCTTATGAAACAAAAAAAAAATTCTATTCATATTTGTTAATCTATAAAGAATTAAATTTATATTTTATTTGTTCAATTATTTAATAATATTCATAATCTATTGTAATATTATTATAGATGACAAAATCTTTTGAATCTCCAAAATTAATATGGTGGATTATTATTCCTATATGTATTATCTATTTATTTCTTATGGTTCATTGGCCATATATTATACCATTGAGATCTTTAGGTTCATTTGGTGATTTATCATATTATTTAATATCAAATTATCGTTTTCTACTTTTTCTTATTCTATGGTCTACTTTTATTGCACATTTTTATGAAACATTAATTGCACGTCGAATTTGTCGACAACTTAATATTGATCAAGAATTAACTTATTTATGGATGATACAAACATTTATTTTAGGTTTGCAGTTTTTTTTTGTTTTAGTTTATAATTTAATTTAATTTTTTTTTTTTTTTTTTTGTATAGGATTTCCTTCATTGACTATACTTCAACGGTATAAACGTCAAGCATTATGGTAGAGTTAATATAAAAATTGTTATTCAATTGATGACTTATTTTTTTTTTTTTGTTTTTTGTAATAAATTAATTTTATGTTCAGATAATCGAATTTTATGTGAAACAAGTTGAACAATAATGTATTTATCTATAGTGTTAAGCACCTAATACAAATTTAGATAGTAATTTTAATAACTGATGAAGTTTTCTATCTATTGCAAGACTTCTAAAAAGAAATCGAATACGATAGTTTTTGAAATTCGAAAAGCTAATTTTAAAGATAAGAAAGTAGATGATTGTTATGTTTTTTACGACCTTTTTGTAAAAAATTAAAAATCTATTTTGAAAAATTTTCTCTTGAATCTTAAGAGTGAAAAAATATAGATTTAAGAATTTTCATATTTATCTGATGGTTAGACGATTTTGATTTCAGTTATTTTTAAATCCTACCATTGTAATTAATCTATAAAATCTTGCTATAGAATAAAAAAAACTTCAAAATCACATTATTGTTAAACTTTATATTTTTTCGTTACTTTACACATAATACACTTTTTTTTGATTTAATTTATTTTGAAAAACAAAATAAAACGCATGACATTTGATCTATATTTTGCATTAATATGATTTTAGAAAAATTTTTTTTTTTTAATTATAATTTTATATATAAAATGAAATCAGTGTACGTAATTTTTTTGAAACTTTCAAATTATATTTATTATGTTACGTTCTTTAAATTTACTTTCACGACGTTGTGTATTTTTATATAATAGCAAGTATGAAAAAAAAAACAAATTTATTTATTTATCTTATTTTTTTTGTTTTATTTAATTTTTAAATTAAACATGTCTACATTATCGAATAATCAACAAGATAAACCACCCGGAGTAAATCTATCCGATGTGGAATGGAAAAAACGATTAACTAATAAACAATATCGTATATTACGACAAAAAGATACAGAATATCCTGGTACAGGTGAATATAATAAACATTTTAATACAGGAATTTATAAATGTGCTGGTTGTGGACAAGAATTATATGAGTAAGAATATTTTTTTGTTGTTGTTGTTGTTGTTGTGTATGAATAGAATAATTTATTAATAGTTCTTCATCGAAATTTGATTCACATTGTGGTTGGCCAGCATTTAGTTCATCGATTGGTACATCAGTTCGACGTCAAATAGATACAGATGGTTATCGTGAAGAAATTTTATGTGCAAATTGTGATGGTCATTTAGGTTTGTTGAAGATTTTACTTTTGTCTGTACAAGAAAATATCATATTTATGTATTTTATTAATTCAAAAGAGAAAGAAAAGTAACTCCTTTTTTTTTAATAAGAATGATAATTTGTTAGGAAAGATATAAACTTAGTTTTAAATCATAAGAAATTTTTTTTTTGTTTTTGTATTTTAGGTCATGTCTTTAGAGGAGAAGGACTACGCGATGTTAATGGTAAATTAATTCAAGAACGTCATTGTGTAAATTCTGCTTCACTCAAATTTGAAAAGAAAAAATAACATTTGAATATATATATAAACATGCACTTCATTTTCTTTTTCAAATAATATTCGAAAAAAAATAATAAATAATTTTTGTTGAGTAATATAAATAGAATGGAATGAATTAGGAATCATAATGTATACATATATGTGTTCTTAATCATACAAATGATGTCTACATGCAGTATTGTTAAGTTATTCCCAGTTGGATTAAAACCATACTAGCAACTACTAGTTCGACGAAAATATTTTTAGCATAAGTCAGCCGACTTGATATTTACTTCAATACGTTCATGTTTATCATCAAGTCAAGTTGATTATATATCATACGAGAAATTCAAGAAAAATCAATACAAACAATACTTATTCCTTCTTGTTGTCTACATTATTTCTATGATATTTGATAACATGCCTCATATATAGAAAAGTTGTTATCTTCATCAAAAAATGCATTCTATAGACTGTAAAGCAGGATGAAGAAAAACAATCATATGATGCTTTTAGGTTTGTACATAGAGTCTCTTTTTACTAATCATAAAATTGTTGCAGATTGAAAATTGTAAAGTAGATTAGGTTGTGTTACTGTATTAGCTTTCAAAGAAGAAAGATACATATTGATATTATTTATAGAAAACAAGACATCATATAAAAGTATTAATTAATATCCTATAAATAATTTTACAATCAACCGTGTCTTTTGAAGAATTTATTATTCTATCATAGGGACAAAATATAACCTAAAAAGATGTTTGATTATTTTGGTTAGAAATATAAATCAATAAAACTTAACAATATAATATATTTATACTTTAAATTTTTTGAAACAGCTTTTTTTTAGACAAATTTGATCTCAACTGAAGTTAAAAATAACTGTATATGAATATATAAGATCAGTTCTATATGCTCATTTTGTTCGATTTTATTGTTTATAAATCTTTTACATAACTCTCGAAATCTAAACTTTATATATATCGACATAAAGGAGGCAGATAAAGAAAGCTATTACAACTTCCTATAGTGCTATTATGCTATCTATGCTTACTATACTTGTATTGAGATTGTTCCCAATCTATTCAATGTAAATAATAATATAAATCGACTAAAACAACATGAAATCAAAGCTTTTATTTATATGATTTCATTCACAAACATTTTATTAATACAACTATAGATGCATTGTAACTTGAACTTTTAATTATTTAATGTAATAATTGATCATTATTATCTACATTAAGTAAAAGTCAATTGAAGTCTAAATAGAGTATTGTACCAAAATTCTTTATAGACACACTCTGGAATGAATATAGAACATTGCTATGAATTAGACATAGAATTCAGCATTGATTATTCGCATTTTTAAATCGTATGTCACAAGTGAATACAGAGTTACTTTATCAAGAAGAAATTGAATACCACTGCCAGTTTTTAACCATAAGAGTTGTTGAATAACATTGTACATCACAACAAATAAATTTTAACGTCATTTATTGAACGTATAAAATGCTCTTAGTACCCTTTTCATATCTATTTCATAGTTTTATGAAAACTTCAGATTCTTCTATTTAAGTCATAGTCGAAAAACAAAAAATATAATATAAATAAACGAACAAGATATTTACGTTTGAGTTGAGTTTAATATAAGCAATTAAAATTCATCAAAGTTATTTTTTGAACAAAAAAAAAATTTAATCTATAGACGAATCTACTTTTATATTGTTTTTCGTTTTTTTTAAACTGAATTACATTAAGCGCATGATTTGTACTTTTTGCGTTTTTTATATTTTAAATGAAAAGATCTCGATGAGTAAATGTACATCATCGGCATTGACGCTTTTAAAATTCGTATTTTTTCTTCTACCATTTGCTTTTCGTTTCGTCTGTCGCCATACTCTCATTTTATATAGACTACTCTGTGTCTTTATAATAAAAAAAGAAAGAAGGAAGAATAAAAATTCAGCGAAGACATACTCACTTTCTGCACATTTTGTTATTGAAAGAGAGTTGAAAGAGTAAGCAATAATGAATCAAGGCTTTGGATCAGGAAACACACAACCATCAACTCCACCATATAATTCTTCAACATCTGCATCACTACCTAATCGTACTAGTAATACGGTACAAGGAGGATTTTCCAATATGATGCCTCAACCAGCTGCTCAAAACATATCGTATGCGGTAGGACAACCATCTCAAATACCATCATATCCAAGTGCTTCTCCATTAACATCATCATCTTCTCATGGAAGCCCTTATTTCGCAAATACTCCGATAGCAAATACAAATAATTATTCACCATATTCACTTCCTAATTTTGGACAGCAACCATCAACATTTCAAGGTCAGTTTCAATCATTGTTTTAAATCAAAATACCTTCATTATAAATGAATTATGACAATATATATTTTAGGAGGTAGTAGTTCTCATCAAACTCCATATCCACAAGCATCTTTTAGTAATCAACCACCGCCACCACCACCGTCAAGTTAGTCGAAGTTTGAAGTTTATTGAAAGATTAGATTTTACTGTTAAGAAAACTACAAAATAGAAGGTTTTATACTATTTGTAAAGAACATTAGACATACTCTGGTTAAATTAAAGTTCCCATTGAGAAAATAATAAATCTAAAATATGAACTGCTCATGATATACAATATGTGAGAGAGTGAGTTTTTTTACATATTTACACAATATGCAGGATGCCTGCAAGTCAAAATTTTAAAAATATTTATTTTTTCTTTCTTTTTGTGATATTTGGATAGAACTCGTCGATTTGCATAAGAAAAAAAAAACATATTTGAAACTTAAAAACAAACTTTAAAATATTTCATAAAATTCAGAAATTTTTGATATATTGTATTTATATTCGAAGATAATAGTACTTTGGACATCATTTTTTATTAAAGATTGAAACACAATTTTTTTCCTATGCAATTTAACAGGCTTTATCCAACCATTGTGAAAAAAGAAAAATAAATAGCATCAAAGTTTTCACTCGTGAGTATCTTATACATACTGTAAATACCTAAAGAATTCATTTTCTTGTTTGTTGCTTTGACAGTAAGAGTTTTTATTTGAAATGAATATATCTAATTGTTCTTTTATAACAGTATAAAATCTTCCATTGTAAAAGAATAAATGAATAATATATGTTGTAGCAAATACTGCAAGTTACCAAAATCCATATCCACCACCAACTCCTCACCAATCATCAACTCCTTATCAACAATGGAACGTGACTCCATCTCAACAAGGTAAAACAATCATTTAGCTTCTTTGAAACAATCTAATTCGAATAATTGTTAGGTAATTATCCATAAAATAATCCACCACAACAGTCTTTTCCAAATACTTATGCAACATCATATTCTCAACAACCTCAAGGTAAAATGACATTGTTTTAAAATAGTGAACGTATTCGTAAACTATATCTATGATTTTAAATAGGTGGATATCCTCGAAACGAACCACAACAAACATATCAACAATATGGTTCGTAGATTTCGATCATTTAATTTCATTCTTGTTTTCATCTCATAGGTGGTGGTTACAATACAAGCTTTAATAATGATCGTCTTCGATCAATAGCTACACAACATGAAATTAGTGATGCATCCCTACAACGTTTAAATATACTTCAGCAGTTTGAAATTGTAGTACTTTGTGATGATTCCACGTCAATGAATACACCTGTCAACGGAACAACTGGTACTCGTTGGGATGAGTTACGAGCTATCGTGCAAATCATTATCGATATTGGTACTATATTTGATTCAAATGGAGTTGACGTACATTTTCTTAATCGACCTCCTATGCTCAATGTTACTGATCCTCGACAAGTTGTTGAATCATTTAATAAACGTCCCAACGGATATACACCTCTTACTTCTGCTTTACGAGGAATTTTTCAATCAGCAGCAAGTAAACTTCGTGGTAACAAACGTCTATTAGTTTTTGTAGCTACAGATGGAGAACCAACTGATAATCATGGTTATGTCGATATACAAAGTTTAGAAAACCTAATGCAACATGAACGTCAATCAAATACTATGTATGTGACATTTCTTGCTTGTACTGATGATCCAGCAAGTGTCCGTTATTTAAATCAGTGGGACCGTACAATGATAAATGTTGATGTTGTGGATGATTATAAATCAGAACGAGAAGAAGTACGTCGAACTAAAGGATTCAATTATCCATTTTCATTTGGTGATTATGTAGTTAAAGCATTAATGGGTGCTGTTGATCCAGGGATGGACTCTCTTGATGAATATGCAAATAGTACTAGAAATGGTTAGATTTTATTAATAATCAACTGTTTTTAAAACTTTTTTTTCGCATTTTCAAATGAACTTAATTTAACATTTATACAAGAAACAAAAATTGATATTATAATCTTTTGTTTATTGCACTTCCATTCGAGTAATTTTCTTTAACTAATAAATAAATGATCTTAATAAAATAACAACAATAGATACATTTAAAAGTTATGTTCCTATCAGCGTTAAATTGTTATATATATGGATGTTCTTTTAGTAAATATTGATAGGAGCAATGCAGAGACTTGCAATTTTCATCATTTAAAAGAGAACATTCAGAGTCATCAATAGAGAAATCAGGTGAGTTCTGAGCGAAGATTTTGAAAAACAAGATTCTGAAGTCATTTCCTATTGAATATCGATTTGTAATATCACCAATTTGTAGAAAACAGTTTTCTCTTTCATTCGTTGAAAACTTCAAATTCTTAGCTACTTGCTATGACAGTGACAAAAGACTTTTCGAATGCCTTCAATTCCAGTAATTTGATATTAGAGCACTCCAAAAGAGGTCAACACATGGTTTATTCATCACTCTGAATCGAATAGTGATAGTTATTTTCAGTTTCATACCTATCGTAGATCACTATATCAGTAGTAGTTGTGCAGTTCAAAAACTTCTTTTTAACAGAATAACACTTGAAGTGTTGAAATGTTTCGTATAATCATCTTAGGTTAGTTGAAAACTGAAAATAAACATCAATATTGGACTCAATGTGATCATTAATCTATCTATGGATTTCTTCTGAAGTCTGCTAAGGTCAAATCGCTGAAACTGCAAGTATCAAAAAATGTTTATAACTCCTGAGTTGTAGCAGCTACTAACTTCGAATATTGCGAAGATTGAGAGAAAAGATTGTTTCTTACAGATTCGTTATATAAAAAGTATAAATATAATGAGTAACAACTTCGGAATCTTGTTTCCAAAATCTTCTGTCAGAAATACAATGTCTTGATATATCTGCATTGATTTATAGACTTAACTATAAAATAATTCCGATAAAAATTATTGAAATTTACAAAATTTATTGGTTTTTTTTTCACAGTTCATCGGAAATCACAAAAAAACCCGATACTTTAAAATAAGCTGTCATATATTTAATGCATAGCTAAACAAAATAGACTTCGAATGAGTCGAAATTTGAGTGCTAAATAATTCAAGAAGTGCATAATTATTAGAGATGAGCGTAGAACAAAGTTTTGTAGAACTCTTATATCTTTTCGAAGAAAATAGTTCGTGTAAGTTTTAAGTCGAAGTGTCGTGGCTCCCTCTTCCCTCACATCAGGAGAGCAAAGTTTTTGTTCGAAATGTAAATGTGAAAAAAGAATGTTTTATGAAAACCAATGTTCATTGTAAAAGAACAATTTTATTTTCTAGACTTTACACTTTGCATATTTGGTATTAGTATAGTGAAGCTAATGAAGACATGTGAGTTCCACATCCCACCTACAAAGGAGCTGCGCTAACAAGCTTTTTTGACAAATAACACGCCATATTGATATTACAACAGATACATTTGACGAGTTCATCGAAATCCAGTGAGGGATGCTTCAATATTCAAAAGTAAAAAGTCCAGTATACTCAATGTTTCATAAGAAGTTAGAGCACAGTGAGAACTGTTTGAAAATCTACTCTCATCGCTTTCTTTACAAGCGAACACTGAATAGCCTTGAGCAAAAATATGCAGAGACCAATCGTGACTCGTCAAAGATGCCTTGATCCTATGCAATAGCAGCATTTTTCTTGTTCTTTAGTCGATATTCAGTTGAAAAAGTCTGATCCATCTTCACATTTTTCTTCTGTGATGATTCATGATATGAGAAAAAAATAATCAAGTTTTCTTTTGTTTATCTGTTGTTAACTGTCATTTTTGCAGTCGATATTGATTGAACTCAGTATTGATAACAAAAAATTAATACTTCCTTGAGATATTTTAATGGCAACGAATATAGCCTAAAAAAGAACTAAATTGTGTTCTTCGGAGATCCGAAAGATGGACAACGTTAACAGAGCAGAATTGAATCAAACCAAAATGAATAGCTGATGTTGTCATACTTTTCGCTCTCTGCAACGCGCATAAAAAAATTAACCAATGAATGCACACATTCAATGCTCCATGAATAGCAAATACATCAAAATCTTCAAAAACGCTGTTTCACATTATATTTGTTAGGAACTTGATGATCCACTTTTCTTTTGTTTAACTCAATCAATAAAATGATCAGTGTTACGAATGAAACCCATCGTGATAAATAACTAACATAGGTATCCTAGACTACTTCTTCAAGCAGATTCAAATGAATTTTGTTTCTCACGTCAAAACGTAGATTTTTTTCTTGTCTCAAGCAAAGTATTTGCTTTTTCTTTATTGAAAGCATATGTAAGTCGTTCAAGTATCAACAATGCATTCATTTGAAGGAAAGCAGCAGCAATAATTTCATTTTCGTGTGCAATCATGGTGTTGAAAGTATAGAGAAGTTACAATACGGTGATCATATTCGACGGCTTTTTTCAATTCAAGCTCTCACTGGCTTATTTTGAACATATTGCAGGAACGATTATGTCGAGTAGGCTCTATAAATTCAAAAAAGATGCATGCATTGGCTGTACCTGGTGTGCATGTGGGTATGCAGTTCAATGTACGTTTTGCGTATTGGATAGAATTAGATCAAAGCCACACACAAATGCCGCATCCACACCAACATCCTCCTAGAGTGCTGTTATGCTATCTATGCTCATTATACTTGTACTGTGATTGTTCCCAGTTTGTTCAATGTAAATATAATATAAATCGACTAAAACAACATGAAAACAAAGCTTTTATTTATATGATTTCATTCAAAACGTTATGACTACAACTATAGATACATTGTAAGTTGAACTGTTAATTGTTTAATGTAATAATTGATCATTGTTCTCTACACTAAAAGAAGTCAATTGAAGTCTAAATAGATATTATTCTACCAAAATTTTTGATAGACACACTCTGGAATGAATATAAAATATCTCTGTGAATTAGACACGAAATTTAGCATTGATTATTCTCATTTTTAAACCGTTTGTCACAAGTCAATAAAGAGGAGTTTAAAAGTTACTTTTTTCATGAAAAAATAGAGTGTCACTGTTATGTTTTGATCATGCGAGTCAACTTTCTCACACTGATAAAGATAAGCTGGTAGTTTATATTCATGAGAAAAATGTTAGCGAAAACTGTGTTGAAGTGGCATTGTTGACAATAAAAATACAAGTCCGGAGTTATAAAAATAAACAATATAACCCAGAAGCTATGATCTACGAGATAGCTACAGTAGTTGTAAAAAGTGTCACTACCAAATAAAAGTATCTAAATTTTTATCTTTCAGTTTTGTAGTTTATCAACATGAGAATTTTAGGGAAATCGTCCAAAACTGATCGATATCTTCGACTAATTTTAATCATTGTTCTTGAGCTTCTTTAGTGAGTCCTTTCCTCTAATTAAGTTTTTCCTCGGAACTTCACGATTACAGTCATCGATGGTGCAGCGATTCTCGCTGAGTTCTTCTCAAAGAATAGAAGCTTCTTCGTGTCTTAAGCACACAATGGATTGAAATGCTCTGTCTATCCGTTACACAATATCGTCGTGTAAATCTTTATTTACTAATAAGATAATGCAGGTTAATGCATTTATATAATGGAAAATCAGAAAAATGTCCAAAGAACTGTTATTAAATCCTAGGAGATATTACTTCTTTTCATCAATTATTTACATAAAAGTCTATCAACTTCGCGTTACTGGTTATGAATAAAGTTTACTAGACCCGATTCGTACTCAAAATATCACTCAAAAAAAACTTATAAAACGTGATCTCTTGCACTTGTATAATTCTACCTCGATTGATTAAATATTTTGCGTATGTTTCGAGAAGTTTACTAATATTGCATACTATAACAAATAGATTCTTAAGCCATTTGTCGAAAGAATTATGTTCTCTTAGTACCTTCTTCATGTCTATTTCATAGATTCCGAAAAATTTTTAATTCTTTTTTACGAGTCATAGTCGAAAAAAAATAAACAAGCTAATATAAATAAATGAACAAGATATTCAGATTTGAGTTGAGTCTAATGTAAGACATTAGAATTCATTCAAATTATTTTTCTCCTGAAAGAAAAATCAATAAACACATGAGTCAACTTTGATCATTTCTGTTTTTTTTCTTTAAGTGAATTACATGAAGCACGTGCTGTGTTCCTATTGCGTTTTTATGTTTGAAACGAAACGATAGCAATGCATAAATGCATATCAACTGTATTGACGCTTTTAACGCTCGTTTTTTTCTTCTACCGTTCGCTTTTCGTTCTGTCTGTTGTCATACTTTTATTTTAAATAGACTACCTTGTGCATTTGGAGTAAACACAGAAAGAAGGGTATAAATTCAGCAAAGACACACTTACCTTTTATACATTTCGATAATCAAAGACACTTGAAACAAGAAGTAATAATGTATCCAAGCTTCGGATCAGGAAACAGACAATCATCAGCCTCACAAAGTCGTTCTTTAACATCTGCATCACAACCTAATTCTGCTAGAAACACAATACAAGGAGGGTTTTCCAGTATGATACCTCAACCAACTGCTCAAAACACATCGTATGCGGTAGGACAACCATCTCAAATACCACCATATCAAACTGCTTCTCCATTAACATCATCGTCTTCTCATGCAAGCTCTTATCTCGTAAATACTCCGATAGCGAATACAAATAATTATTCACCATATTCACTTCCTAATTTTGGACAACAACCATCAACATTTCAAGGTCAGTTTCAATCATTGTTTTAAATCAAAATACCTTCATTATAAATGAATTATGACAATCTATATTTTAGGAGGTAGTAATTCTCATCAAACTCCATATCCACAAGCATCTTTTAGTAATCAACCACCATCAGCACCACCGTCAAGTTAGTCGAACTTTGATGTCTTTGGAAAGATTAGATTT